TTTTCTAACCAATTACGAATTTGAAAATAAACGTTTTTTGATCAATACAAGGTACAAAATTACAATATGTATTGTTATATGTGTTACAATGTGTTTACAATATTCATTCTTTTTGAAGCCATTTCCTCTTAAATTGCAAGATGAAATGGTTTTCATAGTAGCAGTATTCAATTCATTGCTTTTGGATTAACGATGGATGACACAAAAACTCATTCATTCCTTGATTCATTCATTAACAGTACAATATAAAATTGAAACACTAAATAAAAGATTTCTGAAGCTTTTACATCATTCAACAACTTGATTTGCAAGGCACTGTGGGATCGGTTTCTGGAGAAAATAAACTAAATCCGCCATGTTTTACCCTAAACATATCCAACAATGTATTGCGTATTTGGCACATGATGTACAAGCTTCAGAAGTCTATTAATGCAATGTACAGAGCCAAGCAGAACAGAAATTTAAAGTCCCAATAGGGCAGGTTAGAATGGGACACGGGATCCCATTAAGGGTGTGTTGTAAGTTACAACATTGTTACTAGTAATTTGATAAATACTCTATACATAGTCATTTCAGCCTTTCATATCAAGTGATTAGAGTGGTTTTCATAAACCCGTGAAACACAAAAGCTATTAGTTAAAGTGTAATAGTCAGATGACAACAAAAGAAAACAATGGTATTAGGGTGTAATAAAGTGTATTAAACTAAAGTGTATTTCACGGGTTTATGAAAACCACTCTAAACCCATGAAACAAAATTTAACTATTAAAGTGTGATAGCCAAATAGATAGAAAACAATGCAGTTAGAGCGTATTAAGGTTTATTGTAGTAATAAGTATTTCACACTAAATCCCTGAAATACATCGGATTAATAACTTATTAAACAGTTTTCAATAGACAATACAAAAAATGGTTAGCGTGGTTTTCAAAGTCAAAAATCCCATGAAATAGTTATTACATTAATACACCTTCGTAAGCTGTAATGCCACTGCTTTCTTTTGTATATCATCATATATTGTTGTAATTAGATATTGTTCACGGGTTTAATGGCTTCACTCGTGAAACAGTCACAGTGCAATAATGTGTAATACAAAGAAAAGATCGTGCAAGAAAAAAAAACGTACAAAATAAGACTAATAAATTATTGTACGCTAAAGTGTATTTCACGGGTATATTAAAACCAATCTAACATGTTTTATCACCAATATTATGCTACTTTTTGTTACCTGGATTAGAGTGAAAACACTAAAAGAATGATAAAATTAAAAAAAAAATTAATTAAAAATCAATTGAAAAATAGTGATATCTGAGGTTCCTAAAATATCTCAGGTGATCAATTATTTTATTACAGTTATGTAAAAAGATAAATTTAACACCGTAAAAAAGTATTTGGAAAAACTTACTGACGTTTCGGATGTTAATCCTTCGTCGGAGTAAAGAGAGCAAATTATTTTATTACCCTGAAAGTCCAACTGGGTGAGATGACAGTTTTCACTTTTGAGTGAAAACTCAGGTGTAATGCACCTTGATCAGTTATTGGATTCATGGACAAGTCCAGCTGGGTGAGGTGAGGTGAAAATTTTCACTTTTGAGTGAAACTCAGGTGTAATGCACCATCAGTTATTGGATTCATGGACAAGTCCAACTGGGTGAGATGACAGTTTTCACTTTTAAGTGCATCACTCAGGTGTAATACACCTTGATCAGTTATTTCATTCAAGGACNAGACTCGAGGAAAAACGTTTTTATCTGCATTCGTAATGCAAATAAGCCTGCAGGCTTTCCAGCTTATTGTCAGCGATGTGTTTGACAGTAAAATTGCAGGCTCTGGGTACGAGATTTGATTAACTGGAAATAACAACATACCGCTGACATAAAATCAAAGTAAAATTCCTGGGCAAACTACTTTTTGAAAAAAATATCTTCGACTACTGGTAGACAACAAGGCTTTAAGCCTCAGACAGACAGACAAAGCAACAAGAGAATCAAGTACTTACATTTCTAAAGTCCACTGTAAATGGTCCAAGATAGGCGACCACACCAGACGATAACAAAACATCACCAGTAACTTTAGTATATCTAGGGATARAGGTTAGGTTAGTCCTATGTAGGAATCGTTATAATATTGGAAACTCTTGGGTTTCCTGTGTTTTTGTAGGTACAACGAGGTAGTAACTTGGTATATTAGGAGACATTGAATTAAAGAAGTCTTTAAAATGCCGACTCTAAAATAATACAATAAAATCAAGCTCTGGAATTTTTGTGTTATCTTATATATTATTACTACTTATATACCGTATAAAGTATTCAATGTTTAACTTTTTCTGAAATAGCTTTATCTTTACTTGTTTGAATGGTATTATATTTGCGTCGTTGTGACAATTCATATTTCCAAGACTTACTTGTCTTCTAGCATCTTCGCTGTCTCTGTCCATCTCTCCTTCTCGCCACCAAGCCCMCCAATCAGCTTCTCTGCACGGTCAAGTTTCTTCTCGCACAAGTCGATGTTGTGTTCCAATTCCTTCTTCTTGTTGGTCATGGCCTCAAACTCATCGTTTAACGCTTGCAGCTTGTCCATAACCTTTTGAAACGGATATAAAATTTTAATATCAGATCAAAGTTTCCGGATACAAATTTTGATAGAACGTCAAAGGCCTGAGATATTCGCATAACTAATAGACCTCTGAAGGTTTTACGTCATGTACTGTATACGCAATGCATTGTAGGATATGTTTGAGACAAAACATGGCGGATTCCCCTTGTTCTCTCTAGAAACTAACCCCACAATGCATTTAAAATCAAGTAGTGACGTAAAAGGTCTATTTTAACTCTAACAAAATGTGTCCAGAGAAACATTGCAATAAATTTTAAAAATATGAATTTGCATATTCTTCACAAACCTCTTTCAGCTCCGCTCTTTTCAAGTTAAGCTTGTCCATTTGCACAGCAAGTTCTGCCTCGGCACTTGCTAACTTCTCTTTCTTGGGACCAACCACCTACGAATTGAATACAGTGCTTAGACGTCAATCATGAGATACAAAAAAATACATGCAATGGGTGGGGATGGGGTTGGGAGAAGGGAGAGGAAGGGTAGACCGTACCTTAGCCACTCTGTCGTATACTTCCATCGCAAGAATCCATTTACACAAACCTTCGCAAGCTGATGAAACACTTCTGATGACGTCAGGGTTGAAATCAGGATTGGTGACGTATCTATAAAACATTATAAAGAATGATTACTTGCAGTGTTTTGTTTCTGTATTCGCATCTTG